GAGAAACCATTACTATATAAATTTTCTCTTTAAAAACATAAATACAATTCATACAATTTCTAAAGGAATTGTTTCTTTCCTAAAGAAGAAGTTTTCTCTTTTAAAGAGTCACAATTTCTATAGAAATTTTCTCCTTAAAAGACACACAATTGCTTTAGAAATTTAATCTTCAAAAGACACACAATTTCTATAGAATTTTTTCTTCAAAAAAGACACAATTTCTATAGAAATATTTTCTCTAAAAAGAATGCAATTTCTAAACATGTTTGGTCTTCAAAAGAGACACAATTTCTATAGAAATTTTCTCTTCCATAGAAACACCATTTTTAATGAAATTTTCTCTATTAAAGACACAACGTCTTCAATAAACTTTATATATAACAATCCTTTGCTTATTCTATCTATTCTATAAAAAGGTGCAGTTTTCTATAAAAGCGAATAATTTTTATTTATTTTCTCTTCATTACAGCCGCCCATATTGGTGTTGGTATATCTGGTCAAGAGGGTTTACAAGCTGTATTGGCAAGCGATTATTCGATTGCACAATTTCGCTATTTAGAAAGACTTTTATTGGTGCACGGGCGTTGGTCCTACTATCGCATGTGCAAATTCCTGCGTTATTTTTTCTATAAAAATTTTGCATTTACCTTGTGTCATTGTTGGTATTCATTTTTTTGTGGTTTTAGCGCACAGGTTAGTAGTTTCACTCTAATTAAATTTAAAGACTACAATTTTGTATAAAAAATAACATAAACTTCCATTTTACAGACTGTTTTTGATCCCATGTTTATATCGGTTTATAATCTTTTCTACACATCATTGCCTGTCTTAGCGCTGGGCGTATTCGAACAAGATGTTTCAGATAGACATAGTGTGGATTTTCCCAAACTATATACGCCAGGCTTAAAAAGTCAATTGTTTAATACCAAAGAATTTGTGTATAGTGTATTACATGGTGCCTTTAGTTCGTTAATATTATTTTTAATTCCTTATGGTGAGAGTAGATTTACTGAAATTTAAAGTTTTTTCTTCTGTAAAATAAAAGTTTATTTGTTTACAGGTACTTATCACAAAGGCGTCTCGCCAAATGGTTTAATTTTAAGTGATCACATGACTCTGGGAGCGGTTGTTGCAACTATTTTAATTATTGATAATACTGCACAGGTATGAAATGTTTAAATAAACATGTCATTTGGGGATTTTTAATATTTAATACTTTTTCGTTAACAGATTGCCTTATATACATCATATTGGACAATTTTTAATCACATAACAATTTGGGGTAGTCTGATATGGTATTTTGTTTTAGACTACTTTTATAATTACGTTATTGGCGGACCCTATGTGGGCTCCTTAACAATGGCCATGAAAGATCTCACATTTTGGACTACCATGTTCATAACTGTGGTGCTAATTATGATACCAGTATTAGCTTATAAATTCTATTTAATAGATTGTCAACCAAGTCTGGCAGATAAGGTAAGAGATTTAGGAATCTTTATATGACAGAATAATTAATGATTACATTTTGTTATTTGAACAGATACGTATGAAGAGACGTCAAGCAAGTTTGAAACTAAGACAGACTAGCAGTGTTATGAGGGCACCATCCTCTAGAAGATCAAGAAGATCTTTAAGATCTGGTTATGCGTTTGCCCATCAAGTAAGTTTTATTATAATAATATATTTTTAATAAGTTTTAAACCTTTAATTCCCACTTTTTAGGAAGGCTTTGGTCGTCTTATTACTTCTGGTAAAATTATGCGTAAATTGCCGCAAGAATTTGCTTTTCCTCTGGGTTTGGGTAGTAAAAAGGTACAAAGTTCCGGCGCTACACAAGATGCCAAGACCAATAACAACAATAGCACGCGTGATAATAATAAAAACTCCTCAATGGATGATAATTCTTTAAATAATGATGCCTTAACTAATAATACTGAAACAAATATTGAGGGACTAAGTCCGCGTGCTCCTTGCCAAGATTTAGATACGATAAATCTCTAAACAAAAAACAATACTTACATATAAACAAAAGTATTCAACTAAAATGCTACTACAAACTAAAATAAAAGTGTAAACAATTTTTTTAATTAAAAAATGTAAAACAAAAGTAACTTATAACATAAAATAGTTTTAAAGTAACATTAATTATAGGCTTGTAGTATATTCATTTCATATTAAAACTTAATGAAACCAAAAACACTGTTAAATATCAACTTTTTTGATATAAAATTGAAAAAATAAATTAAATTAATTATAATTAAGGAAACTACAAAACAAATTGATCGGAAAATCAAAAACAAATTAGCTTTAAAACCAACAACATAATAATGTTAATTTCATAATAATTTTTTTTTCTAGTATATTCGAGAATCATGATAAATAAGTAATTAAATAATTTATTTATATTTAGAAATAAATATGCATATAGGAAACATATGCGTATTGTTACAACAAACATTACCAAATATTTATTATTATTATTAGTAGTAATAGTTATTGTTAGAATTTTTAAGAAAATCATTAAAAAAAACTCTTGGCTAATTTAAAACTAAACCAGTAATAATTTTTTAAAATTATCTCATCTAAGTCAATATTTATTTTAGTACCTTTATTTTTTTTATGCTAAAAAATGGCTCATTATTATGTTTTTTATAAATTTGTAGTAGTTTTAACGCACTAACTACAGGTTAATTGTAACATTTTAATTATTATTATTATTATGTATTATTAAATTCTTTTTGTATTGTTTATTAGTTGTGTTTATTATTTCTATATATTTTCTTGTAGAATTACATTTCTCAAATGTCCTTTAAGCTTAGAGTTTAACTTTATATAATTTTACATATATTTTGGTGTTTATTTATTATTATACGTGAAAATATGTGATTTAAGTTTTAAGTTGAATTAAACAAATCGAAATGAATAATGAAATATAATAAAAGAAATATTGTATATACAAATATAAAACAGAAGATTTCAATTTATTTGCTGTAAATGTTTAAAAAACAAATGAAGTCTATCTGTTAATTAGGAATTAACTTTTTTTCTTCTCTTCAACCTTTATATCGAGACACTAAATAAGCTGAGTTAGCACTTTTTGAATATAGTGTCTAGATATTTTAAGGGAACTGAATAACAATTGCGAAGAATTTTTTTTAATTTTGAATTCAAATTTTGGAAAAATTTTTATTATTAGAAGTTCAAGGATATATACAAACAAACTCGAATTTTGTTGGACAAGGTAACGAACTATTGCATTTATTTTTAACGATCTGGCTACTTCATACATATAATACAACTCTGCAAACATATTATCTGTTTATCATTCACTTTGATTGACTTTGAAGAAGAGGAAGCATTATTTACAGTTATAAAATAACACATTGTGTAAATTATCGAAAAGTTTGTGTGGAATTTAATTTCTTAAAAAGAAAAATCATGAAAACGAAACATTCACGGACAATAATATATTTATAAATAAGAACAATAACAATTTATAAGTGGCTACAGGATCATTAAAGTTTCTCATAAGTCTGTACAAAAACTTTTGATGAATCAAATTTCTGTAACTCGGGTTTTTATATAAAAAATTAAATTAGATGCAGAGAAAACAAGAAGAATCTGCAATCATTTAATCTTAGAAAATAAAATTAAGTTTCAAATAAAATCTAAGATTATTATAGTGTTGTGTTCCCGACTTTAAATCCTTAACAATGCTTCCAATTGACTAATACCTAATTAAATTTAATTTAATTAAATTTTCCATGAAAACCCTAAAATCGGCTAATCCTTAAATATGGGTCCAATCGAGAGAACAAAAATAGCGATCTCTTTAGATACTAGAGGACGTGTTCAGTTAGGAACAAAAAAATCTCTTGTTTACAAAAAACCTGACTGTATATCCTTAAAATATAAGTTTATCTAAGAAAATAGTGAAAATCTTTGAGAATTAAGAGAATAACTATACTTAACATCAGTGAAAATTTGTGATCACTTTAAAAACGTAAAATCTAGGTACATGTTCTAACATAAGTCCAATTAAGCGCAAATCTGTAACTATTTTAATTTTTCCATTAAAAAAATCGATAATTTTTTTGATTAAAAAAAGTCTTAAACAGTAAGATCTAATCTGAAATCAATTAATTTTTCCATCAAAGTCGAATTTGTTATAAAAAGATGTCCTAAAATCGGCAATAAGTATCTAAGAGCCACAATCTCATTCTCCGGTTATCGTTTAACCGGTAGATATTCGATAATGATTCAACCATGTTATAGTTATATTATGGTTTCGATAAGAAATAAGACATTGAAAAAATGGGGTTAAATATAAAGTTTTTTTTATCAAAAGTACTTTTCGGCTGTAGATCCTTAAGTGATCACTTATTTTCCATCAAAATTAGTTCTTTAAATGAAATAATACATTATTTTTTTCATTTTCTTGTAGAAAATTGGATGCTTTTGACTGGAAACATGAGCTACAGAACTCTACAGTTGGTGTTTAATTATAGTGCCTCTTTTCAATATTTTATACCTATTTATGATTTGTGTTTTATTTTATGATTAATATATATTTGTCTAAATAAAGAACTAATGAAAGGAAGGAAATGTTAAATGCATTTTATTTTTGTGGATAAATTTTTCAAATCTGGCAACACTGGTAATTTCATGAAAATAGCGCCATCTATTGTTTTGATTAGCTTCGTTTTGTTTTTCAAAAAATCGAGTTTCTCAGTCTGGCAACATTTGATTAAATTTTGCATGCCACTATGAGAATCGATATGGCAACCCTAAAAATATAGTGCTGCCATATTGTTTTCATTAGTGGCACGCGAATTTTGCTAAAATGTTGCCAGACTGAAAAACTCAATTTTTTGAAAAACAAATCGTCGCTAGTCGAAACAATAGATGGCGCTGTCAGAACCTTATTGCAGAGTTGCCAGATCGTTATAATTTTGCTTATGGTTAGCGGGTACATGAATAAAAGACGTTTTTTTATAAACGAAGTAAAGATTTATTTGCATTTGTTTTAATAAGGAATAGTTTAGTAACAATGTTTATATAGTTAAAGTAAAAGTTAAGGAATATAAAACAAATACATAGATAGAAAATATAAACTACAGTTTCAGTAATTAATAACTTGTTTGTGATAGTAATGTTTTCTTTATATATTGATGTTGTATTAAAATATATTATTAATTATTGAAAATTATAATTTTCTCAGGCATTACATTGTATAAATAAAATAATTAATTTGTTTATTGAAAATTTACTAAAGAAAAATAATGAAATGTGTTTAGGTATTGTTTCTCTTTTAACTTAAGCGTTTTGTAGGAATAGAAGTGATGAATTAAGGACCCAACAGTTCTGATAACAAAGGCTGTCCAACAGAAAAATTTTTATGTAGACAGTCAACTATAGTCCTAAAGCATAGATCTGCCAGCAAAAAGTCAATGTGTTCTGCAGCTATTCAAAAAATAAAAACATTAGCCAGTTTTGCACTACTAAGGTCGTTTTTACAGATCTGTAATACACGCCTTTTGCATTTCTGTTGATATTCTGACTAAAAGTTTTGACAAGTTTTTTTTTACATTCAGAAAATTTTTAACAGCTAAGTCCTAGAGGATAGTTTAATGATAGTTTTGAAGAAAAGGACAATGTAAAATTTATCTAAAACAATCAAAGTATTGAGTACAGTTGCCTGAAATGCCTTAAAATTTCGATTTTATGTTTTAGACTAAAATTTTTAGTATTATATACTTAAGCGATTTTTTGTAAAATGAATGTTTATGAAAGAATTATTGGTCAAACTTTAATTTGGCTTAAGCAAAAATGTAAGAGCCAAAAATAATATAATTTTTATAAATAGCTTTTCTACCAAATGTATTGATTTTTTTTTAGTTTTGACCAATCTACTGTATATAAAAAACTACAACTAAATACTTGTCAACTAATAACTTACATTAAAATATCAGTTTTTTTGGATTGCCTACACCTTCCATAGCTTCCAAAAGTTTACGCTTCAAATTCGGTTTCTCATCGACATTTTGCTGTTTCGATGAAGGCAATGGCAGTTTATGACCCAGTGAGGGAGCTGGTTTATTTGAGAAATATTTCATATTTAAGGCCTCGGTACAGGTACAACGTTTAGCAGGATTCAAAGCCAATAATCTCTCGGCCAAATCTATTAAATCATCAGGAGCGGCAGTAAAATAACTAGCGAGTGGTGCGCCAGGAAAATGCACAAACTGCATATAATCGGGAAGTTTAGATAAATTTGGCCAGGTATCATCGGAGGGGGTGCCCAAAGCTTGAAATATTTTGGTGAGTTGATTTAAATCTGAATCACCGGCTAGGAAAGGAACGCGCAGCAATAGTTCAGCCAATATACAACCAACAGCCCATATATCAATACCAGTGCCGTACTGACGGGCTCCAAATAATAACTCGGGAGCACGATACCAGCGTGTTACCACCTGATGTGTATAAATACGTGAGGGAGAGCCGAAAAATTTCGCCAAACCAAAATCACCAATTTTCAAAATGCCATCACTATTCACCAGCAAATTGTTGGGTTTCAAATCACGATGTAAAATCCAATTCATGTGTAGATATTCCAAACCCCTTAGGGTCATTATCATGTAAGCCTTAATATCTGCCTGGGTTAAAATAATTTTGGGGTCTTTAATGATAATTTCCAAATCTGTATCCATGAAATCAAACACTAAAGAAACATTCGATTTGTGGCCAAACACATCTACCAGGCCAATGATATTCTCATGCTGAAGCTCATGCAGCAGTTTAATTTCTCTTAAAGCAGTACGATTTATGCCATCTTGGGCCTCTTCTCTACTGCCAATTTTGATTTTCTTCACCGCCACTATTTGGTCACTTAAAACATCACGAGCTTTGTAAACGGTAGCAAACTAAAGTTGTTGTTTTTGGTTATTGCTTTTGATAAGAGTTAGTTAGCGATTAAGATGATTTAACTTACCTGACCTTCACCCAGGAAGGCAATTTTTTCATAGCGTGTTAATTTATTATCCATTTTTTGGAATATTTTATTTATTAAATCTCTTTTAGCACTAAATTAAAAACTTGTAACAAAATTTGCGGCTTTTTTGCGTGTGTTTTGCAAAATGTGAACATCTGTTTTTTAGCATTGTTTATTTTTGGAGATGCCAGATTGTAGTTGCTATGAAAAGTAATGCACGAACAGGGCTGTCGGATGATTATTTTATACTTTCAAGATAAAATCGATAGAAGAGAATTAGTAACAAATTATTTGGGGATTTTTATTAGAAAATAAGATCTCGGAAAATAAATCAAAATCAACAGCATACCGGGTGACAATATTCAAAACACTCTATCATAGATTTGAATGAAAATGTGTTTTTAATAGCAAAATATTTGACAAGCTAGCCCACATTTGTGATTGTTAAAATAATATCTAGATCATATGAATTTATAAAACTATAAATTTGTTTGATAACATTTTCCCACTTTAAACATTGAATATTTTAAAAATTAGTTTAAATGTTTCATGTTATGTGTTTCAAATATTCTTAATATAGTTTCAAAATACAAGACTTTTAAGATATATTGAACCTATTTTGATATTGTTAAAATAATCAGGCAAGTTTCTTTTTCAAGATTTTTACACAAAAGGCAAAATTCATTTCAAATTGCTTCTGTCGCGTAGACAGCAGGCAATTTTACCTTTTATTAATTTTATTCACAATTTTTCTTTTTTAATTGGAACAATGTATATAGAAGATAGACATACCCATAAGGTACTCTTTTAACTTTCTATAATATTGAAGCTAGAAACTAGAAATTAAATATTCAGAATCCTGAGTGAATGAAAATCAGTCAGAAAGTATTTTAGGTACTTTTTCGTTCCACAACTTTTTGATTTTACTGCAATATTGAACGTAGAATCATATAATCAGACATCAGGAACCTGACCAATATTTTTTGAATCTTTTATAATATTGAACCCAGAAACGCTAAATTAAACACGCAGCATACTGAGTGAACGAAAAATCTACTATTTTGATTTCCCGAATTATTAAATATAGAAATATAAAATCATTCATATATGATCCTGATGGAATGAAAATTTATAGGAGTGAATTTTTTGGTACTTTTTGTTTTCAAGTGTCACTTTTTGATTATTATACTTATTAATATACTTATTAAATGAAATTTTATAAAAGTGTAGTTTCTGGTAAGTACTTTTTCGATATTTAATTTTCTGAATTAGGATTACGGTGGAATAAAAATAAGGCTATACTTTGTGCTTCTTCTTTGTTCTTTTCTATCTATCTATCTATCTATCTATCTATCTATCTATCTATCTATCTATCTATCTATCTATCTATCTATCTATCTATCTATCTATATATCTATCTATCTATCTATCTATCTATCTATCTATCTATCTATCTATCTATCTATCTATCTATCTATCTATCTATCTATCTATCTATCTATCTATCTATCTATCTATCTATCTATCTATCTATCTATCTATCTATCTATCTATCTATCTATCTATCTATCTATCTATCTATCTATCTATCTATCTATCTATCTATCTATCTATCTATCTATCTATCTATCTATCTATCTATCTATCTATCTATCTATCTATCTATCTATCTATCTATCTATCTATCTATCTATCTATCTATCTATCTATCTATCTATCTATCTATCTATCTATCTAACTATCTATCTATCTATCTATCTATCTATCTATCTATCTATCTATCTATCTATCTATCTATCTATCTATCTATCTATCTATCTATCTATCTATCTATCTATCTATCTATCTATCTATCTATATATCTATATATCTATATATCTATATATCTATATATCTATCTATCTATCTATCTATCTATCTATCTATCTATCTATCTATCTATCTATCTATCTATCTATCTATCTATCTATCTATCTATCTATCTATCTATCTATCTATCTATCTATCTATCTATCTATCTATCTATCTATCTATCTTTCTTAATTAGAGGGGTATATAAATTGATTTTTACGTGAAGAGTCCAAATGTCCAATCAAGTATAAAATAAAACAAGTTTTATATATTTTTTAATATTTTTTCTTCAGTTTATTTTTAAGTATGATTTTTATTTTAATATTCATTTTTTTTCATTTTCTTCTTCAGTTTTTAACACTTTTAATTCAGACATAAAAGGAAAAATAATAAACATTATCTAAAGAAAACTGTATGTATTAGCATTTCGTATTCATTTTTTTAGAAACTTAATAATAAAAACAATTTATAGATTTCGAAATAAAATACTCGTTAAATATAATAAATAGTTATCAAATAAAATAAATTATTTAAAAAAAGTTGAATTAAAATATTTGTGTGTTTTTTTGTTTGTTAAATGGTTTTTACAAGGAATAAGGCAGCAATATATTTAATGTATTACTATCATGTTTTTGTTGTTGTTTTTAAATGTATTTGTTGTTGATGTTACAATTTCATTTATGACATTTATAATCAATTTGTTTATATTATTTTTATACTAAAACTTTCAGCTAATTAAAGTAGAATTTGATTATAATTATTTGCACATTGTCGACTTGTTTTTATGTTTTTTTACTTTAAAAATTAGCTTTAATTTTTAAGTAGTTTTTTTGTCAGTGTTTTTTTGTTTGTTTTTTAATTTGTTTATAATTTATTTACTAATATGGTTTGTTTTTTAAAAGCGTTTATTAAATTCTAATTCTTTTTACAAAGTTTTTTATTTTTTTATTCCATATTAAGCGTTTATAAATAAGTAAAAGTTTTTTTTAGTATTTTTTTATATTTATCTTAAAGGTTTGTTTGTTTTGCTTTAAATCTTATAGGTAAATACTAATAAATAAGAGTTTGTTTTTATTTATTTTTAAATCCAATTGGAAATTTTGGCTTACAAAGTTCTTTTATTTTCAAGTTACGACTTTTTTCCTATATATATTTTTATATATATAAATCTTTATGTATGTAAGTATTTATGTTGTATGTATATAATTTACATGAGAAATCTAACTACAGGCGACTTAGGCTTAAGTATAATATAATTATCATAATAATAATGTTATGCATACTCGACATTTATAATGAATGCATGCTTAAACATGCATACGAAATTGTTTTTAAAAGAATTACATGAAAAAAAAAAAATGAAACAAAGTTAAAAATTATAAAGAAAACACATGATTTTTGTTAGACTAATTACAGTGAGTGCTAAAATAAAAGTAGATTATATAAAAATATGTTTCGATAATTTGAATTTTTAATAAAATTTTAATGTAAATCAAGTACAGACCTAAAATTAAACCTGTAATGAATCTAGAATATTTAGTTTATTTATCAATTTTAAAATTTACTTTGAAAATATTTACAAAATTGTTTCAATTTTGTTACTCACTGTATATATAAAGGATTTAAATTAATTTTTAGTTATGCAGTGTATATGTAAATGTTTCAAAAGGAAAAAAAAAGAAGAAGGATTTGGGTATTACATGTGTGTTTAGGTAAATTTATGTACATCTTATAAAATACATACATATACATAGATTTGGGTGGCCCCTAAATGAAAGTGTCTGATGTTCTCGTCGAAAATTAACATTAGGTGCATTCTAGGATAACATTTCTCATATTTAATATAATATGAAAATTTCATAACGATCCTTTGGATCCTTGTATCATAAGGATCCTTGTATCCTTTGAACCAGCTCAGCTAATATTGAGCCCAAGACAAAAATTTTGAGAAATAGTATCGTAGAATGAACTAAAGTTTCATTTTCGGTGGGAACGAATATTAGTACCTTATTTTTTCTCCACACAAACAGGACCAACCTAATATACATAATTATTATATCTTTATATGTAAGTATGTATGTATGCACTAGAAATATATGTATTTATGTATGTATATTAGTTTCTTAATTTTTTACTAACAATAATATTCTATAATAAAAATGCAAATTATAACCAAAGTTGCTAAAGTTATAATTTGTTTTTATTTTTTAAGAATTTTGTTATTTTAACTAATTTTCAAGAATTTTAGCAACTTGGTTAAAAATGTACATAGTTTTCTGCCATAAAGTTGCCATAGGTAAATAATTAACGCTAAAAATCACAATATGTTTTTTTTTTCTATAAAAATTTGAATAAAACTTCCGTTATCCGGTTTAATTCGTTTATATCATTCGTTCGTTTGTTTCGAGTGTGTGTGTGTTTGTGCAATTTTTTGCACTATATTTAAACATGCGTTGCTAATGCTCCTTTCTTAGCCGCATTACCATTTGACGGTAGTATAAATTGGCCCGATGGACTTTGTGCTGTAGTTGCATTTGAGGAGTTTACCATACCAGAGGGTGTTCCCACGGTAGGCTGCTGCAGCGGTGTAGCCGCCAATGTATTACTACTGGAGGTGAGATTTGAACTGCTACCACTTACACTAGCCGGACCATTGGTACCAGTAATTATGCTATTGGCGTTGCCGAAGTTTTTTAGACTTCCCATGACTCCGTTGCCCATGAGATTGCCATGATTACGGGGTGCGTGATAAGGCGGTGGTGCTGGTGTTGCCGCCGGATTGGCAGTACTTGGTGGCGGCAGAGGTGGGAGTATGGAGGAATTGGTGCGCAGATAAGGATTACCATAAATGGCACTAAAACGACTGTCAATGCCGTTTTGTAATAGTGGTTGGCCTAGAAGAATAGAATTGTAAAAAATAAATAAATGTTTATGGTTGTCGAATAACTTTAAACAAATTCGTAATAGTTTTTTTTTTTAATTAAAATACTGGTTTTTAACTTACCTAAAAATCCATTATTCATAGACTGTTGCTGTTGCATATCGCTCCGATTCCGGGGTAAACTCATATTACCCGTTGTGCTAGCAGGATTCGAATAGTGAGGCAGAGTAGCCGAACTAATTGTAGTTGAATTACTTTTCGATACAGAACTCATAGAATTTTTATTATCATTAGGAGGACTGTAATCTAAAGCGTATTCAAAATAAGGAGCATAACCATTAACCGACTCCTTGTAGTCTTGATTTTTAATATTTTTTATATTACACGATCTATTATAGCGATCACCAAAGTCACCAGAAAATCTATGAAAAGAAAATCGATTTATTAAAATCATATAAAGAAAAATTTCATGATATATTTACTCACCTTTCATCTAATTTAACGGGACCTGCTAGGGGTACTCCCAAAGTGGCACCCTTCATTTGTACATCAGGCATGGGAGAATGCGTTAGATTTATGGCTAAACCATCAGAGGTGGACTCAGAATATTCAGCTGCTTCATAGGCTTTGGCACGCATTTCATGTTTGAGATCGCTTAATTTATCACCGCCGCGTGAAGCTTCCGGTATAACATCAGCGGGCATGGGTTTCTTCTTGCTACGTTTCATATACACAATCACGAGCATCACAACCATAAGGATAATGGCCACCGAGGACATAGAGCCCATGACCACTAAAAGGACGGGTACCGAACCAGCTGTAGAAATTTATTAAAAATTAATTTTATTTTCTAAACAAATAAGAAAAGATTTTCAACAACTTACGTTCTGGTATTAAAGTAATTAACAATGAATCACTTCCATATGAATTTACAACTGTACAATTATATTTGCCAAAATGATTGGAACGACTTTCCTTGATTATCAGTGCCGCCCTGACGCCCTCAGGCAAATGATGTTCTTCGAATATATACAAATCGGGATCGGCAGTAGACATATTTATAATTTTGCCTTCATAAGACCATAAAATCTTTTCCGCTTTGGGTATGCTAAAGGCTAAACAATCAATTTTGGCACGATTACCAACGGCACCAAATTGCACCTTGTGCGAAGTTATAATGGGAGCCCTTTTAACATAAATTGTGGCCTCGGCACCGATTTCGGGAAAACCCTCCACCACGGCTTTGCAATAATAACGTCCTGCTGTATCGGCAGTAACTTTTAAAGTTAGATTAGCGGTGGTGGCTACCACACGATCAGAATTTTCATTAATCCATTCTATTTCGGGTGTGGGATTGCCATCAACATCACAACGCATGGTAACGCTTGTGCCTAAATCTGCCTCTACGGAAGAGGGTCTTTGGCGAAAAATTGGACCATCTTTAAGGAAATAAACAAAAAGTGTTAAAATGTTATTTAGGAAATAATTTGCAAAACACTTACAACTTATATCCAAAGTTTCACTTTCTTCACTTTTACCCACAGCATTGACCACTTCACATTTAACTATGGCATCGTGATATTGTCGCGAAACATTATGTATTACCATTTTAGTGGTATAATCTCCCGTTACCAGTTCATCGTTGATAAACCAACGATAGGTTTGTACAGCAGGATTAGCATCAGCTTGACAAGAGAGTATAACCTCAGCTCCTTCAGGAATGCGACCACCTGCCAAAGCTCCTCCTACCACCGACACCGTTACCTTGGGAGCATATTTAACTTCCAAAAGGATTTTGGCTGATCTATAGGTACGATCAGCGGTATTTTGAGCCTGACATGTAAAAGTGGTATTATGATGTTCTTTCTTGGGTGTCAATTTCAATATGGATTTGGCTGTTATACGACGACTGTCTGCCAAAGGTTCTTTGACATATTCAATGCCTTTTGTTAGGACATTGCCTAAGCCATCGATCCAGGTGATCTATAAAAAGATTAGGTGGATAATGTTTAAGTTTTAAACTAAAATCATTTTCGAAGAATTCTTAAACTTGAATCTTTTACAAAATTGACAAAATTAAACATTTAGTACAAAATTTAAGTTTTATCACTTTCTAACTCACCTCTGCCGCTGGCTTTCCACCCACCGAATCACATTCCAGCTCAATTTCACGATCTTCAGTTGTTACCAAATGATCTCCCTGTAAAATTTTGGGAGCCTCAGGTGGTACTAAAACAGTCAGTTTGGCAAATCTCGACCTAATGCCAGCTTCACCATTAGGTCCAGGACCCACTTGGCACTGATAACGGGCATCATCATCCAACATGACGGGAAAAACATCTAAAGAAAAATCACCTTCTTCATCACTGCCCACCATAGAGTAACGCTCAAAACCACTTAAATTACGATGTTGACCCAAGCCGAAATCATCTTTTGTCCACTGTAGAGCACCAATCTTTTTCATAACTCTACAGGGTAGAGTAACTCGTGAACCCACTACCGCTGTTTGATCTTGTGGTTCCATGGCGAAATGTTGACCTTCAGTGGTGGTTTTCAGATTATCCTCATTATTGCTGAAGTGAATATTCGAATTCTTTTTCGTTTTAACTTTTGCCGTCACCTCAAGTGCCTGCAGACTGACCAAAAGGAAACATATTACGAGTACATTAGATAAAGGAATGTTTTTTCTTAAACTAGCAGCAGGTGAGGGCAATAGTAATAAAGTTGCTGAAGAACGTAATTTGTGTTGATTGCGTTGGCGTTGTGGGCTGGGCCTTAACAGGAGTGTTGTTGTAGTTTTCGAGGGCATATTACAAGTGTTTTGTGTTTTTTTATGGTCTCAACTTACTGTCAGGATGAAAACGCCTAAAATGATAAAGAAAACATAAAATATTAAGATTTAGTTAGGCTCCACTTTGGAAAAGTTAATATTAAAAAACCTGCAACAGCAATAATCATGTATTCTACGCCCACACTCTGTGATCACTGATCATGTTATGTTTTAATTTTATTGCTAAAACGGTGCAGTAAATTATTATGGTTTCTTTTTGGCTTGATGTGCTCTCAATTTACCAGCCCCGTTCAGTAATCTTAATGCGCGTGCGCATTGTTTTGTATCCAATTACTAAAACAAAGTTAACTGTCTGCCTGCATGCGTATAAAAAAAGATCTTTAGCTTTTTTCAGCTTTTATTGCAGAAAAAAACCTATGCAGTGTAGTGTTTCCTTGAGTGTATAATATTGCAGTAACATGACACATCAAGCTTTAACTTCACACTTTTTAAAATGAAGCATCAGACCACCGATCAAGTGGATGGGATATTTAGGTTAAAGTTGGGAATAAAAATTTATTTTTTTATGTTTTTTTATTGATTATAAATTAAGGTTAAGCAACCTTAAAAATGGGATTTGGAGAGTTAAACTTATGATTTTGTATGCAAAATTTTTTATAGATTTTTTCAAGTGGTATACCAAAAAAATTTTGTAGGACATTATTTTAAAAGGCTTTTGAAATGTCAATCTTTTAAAGAATTAATGAAGAAATGAAAAAGAGGAACTTTCTTAATGATTTAAGAATAAAAATTTACAACTTTTTGAATATTTTTTTCTCAAATCTATCTCAATTTAAAGATTTCAGAATGGTTTAAGGAAAACATTTGAAGTGAAAAATTTGTTTTCATTTAAACATTTAATAAGGGGCGTGGCGCCTCCCATATGAATCAAATACTAAAATGCGTTTATCTGGACAACTATTGGAGTTTGAATCTTAAAATCCATGTGAATATTTAGGGGAAAAATGGGCGTGGCAACTCCCATATGAATTAAATTATATGGCAAACTATAGGACTTAGAATTTTAAAATTTAGCACAAGGACCTTTAACATCAATTTGAATATTTAGGAGAAAAATGGGCGGACTTTCATAAGATGGGTCTTGGCATCTTCCATATGAATTAAAAATTAGTACATCTGAGAAACTATTAAAGTTAAAATTCTAAAATTTCCACGAACTACTATGACATCCATGTGAAGATTTGGGTAATAAATTGGCGAACTAGATTTTAGGGGCGTGGTACCTCCCATATAAATTAAATACAAAAATTTGTTTATCTGGGAAACTAATAAAGGTAGAATCCTCAAATTTTGCACGAAGAACTCTGACATCCATGTGAACGTTTGGGTAATAAATTAGAACACTTTCAATAGGGGATTACCACCTTCCATTTGAATTAAATATAAGAATTACTTTATATGCGAAACTGTTAAAGCTAGAATCTTCAGAATTTGGAAAGTGATCTTTTTCTTTATATTGCTTTTAGGGTAGCAAAGCACACTGGGTATAGCTAGTTAAATCATAAAGATTTCCTAAGAGGATATATAGGATTTTCATTTTACAAAGTTAATACTACGCTTGTGTTTTAATCCTGATTATTTTAATGAGATTATTAAGCTACATGAGATTTTGAATTCAATTGCTATTATTGTACGGATTTCATAAGATTTTACAAAAAGCTAAAATTACCTTAATATTCTAATTCTAAATAAAAATTATACAAAATCTCATACAAATGAAAACATACTCACGTTTACATTAACCCAACAAACATAATGAATTACTAACAGTTCCAATGAATACTCAAAATTTATTTCACGTTCAACTTGTTAAAATGTTGGGGTTATTTTGAAAAATGTTTTAAATTGTTAATAAGTTTTAATTTCAAATCAAAGCTTTAAATAATTTAACTTAAATCCAATTTGTTCGCTGGGCATATTGGTAGTATTATACATAAGTTTTCAACTTATATTTGAATGTGTTTATTTATTCAATTATACGAACATACAACAAAATCTACAATTCATAGGTGTATAAAACGGTGGAGTACGTATGTATGTATTTATGTATAAAATGAGTAGAAGAGTATATTTGAATATGAATGTAGATTACGCGTGTTTTTGTTGAGTATGTTAAGGTAATTGTCTGTGTGCGTGTTGACTGAATTTTTACCGTATTAATGTAAATAATGTAAAGTTTATATAAAGGCCATTAACACATTAGCGAGACAGTAGAATATAAGTTATAACCCAAAAATATAAATGATGCCAATTCTTAGTCAACAGTTGCCCCCCGCCAAAACCAAAAGACCACACCATACCGTACCACATCAAACAAACAAACATGCCACAACGGCGTCATACCACAAAATGGAATACCATCATTGTATAAACAATATGACATACATTTTAAGATACTCATCATAAACATTTATATAATTTGAAAAAAAAAACTACTACATACACTTACATATGAGTAACATTTACATATCCTTAATAAAGCAAAACCTACACACACCTTTGCATTCTTTTGTGATTTTTAACAGTTTTTTCTTAATTTTTTTTGCAAAAATGTAAATATGTCATTGAGTGAGTGTATGGGTGGGTGTGTAGGTAAATATAATTCACTTTAGATACTTTTTATGTTGTTTTTTATGATGTGTGTATACAGTTTTATATTATTTCTTTCTACTAATTAGGATCTGTGTAAATATGTTTTAGAATAGTATCAAAACATAGCATGCAGTGGGATGACCCACTTGATAACGCAGATATCAATATTTTAAATGAATAGGCGTTTTTAATATTCTCATATAGCATGTCCTGTTCGGGATCGACAATACTACTTCTTGATGATTTTAATCCGTGATTTATGAAAAGTTAATGAAGGCTATTCTGAATGACAGTTCATTCGAAATTTGTCACTTACTCCTTCCTATATAACTATGAAACATGTTAATAGAATAGATTTAGTTCATAGACTAATTAATAGAGTAGACAATAGATCAGTTCCTAATCTAGTCCATAGTCTAGTCAACTAATACTAGTCAACAGTTAAGATAATACTCTTTGTCATAGACTGTCCATTTACTAGACAAAGTTAAGTAGTTAATAGACTAGTCTATACAGGTACTTTAATTAGTAATAGGCTAATTAATGGACTAGTCAATAGTCTAATTAATGGATTAGGCTAGTCCATAGAGTACACTAGCTAATAATCTAGACAAAAGTCTAGTCTATGGACTGTCCTTTAGTCCTTTGAATAGACAATATACTAGTCCATAGACTAATCAAAGTACTAGTTTATAGTCTAGTCCATAGGCTAGTCAATAGAATAATTCGGAAAGTAGTTAATACACTAGTCCTTTAATAAGTCAAGAAATGCATAGACTAGTCAATAGTCTACACACTATGCCATATACTGTCCATTTACTAGACAAAGGACTAGTCAATAGACTAATACATAAAGTAGTTGATATACTAGTACTTTAATTAGTCAATAGGCTAATTCATGGAGTAGTCAATGGTGTAGTTTATGGATTAGTCTAGTCCAGAGAGTAGACTAGCTAATAGTCTAGGCAAAGGCCTAGCCCACGGATTGTCCACTAGTCCTTTGACTAGACAATATACTAGTCCATAGACTAATAAAAAGACTAGTTTATAGTCTAGTCAATAGAATGATCTGGAAAGTAGTTAATAGACTAGTCCTTTAATAAGTCAAGAAATGCTTAGACTAGTCAACTGTATATACAATAGACTGTTTGACTAGACAATAGATTAGCCCATTCACTAGTCCATAGACTAATCAAAGAACTAGTTTATAGACCAGCCAAAAAACTAGTTTATAGTCTAGTCCACAGACTAATCTATGAAGTAGTTAACAGACTAGTGGTTTAATTAGTCAATAGACCAATTCATGAACTGGTCAATTCATAGATTAGTCAATTCTCTAGTTTATGAATTAGTCCATAGACTATTGTCTTAACTAGTCGATAGACTAATTCATAGATTAGTCAATAGTCTAGTTTATAAAATACAACATAGACTATTGCCTTAACTAGTCAATAGACTAGTGTCTTAACTCGTTAGTAGACTAGTGTCTTAACTAGTCAATATGTTAGTGTCTTAACTAGTCAATAGACTAGTAAACATATTAGTCCTTTAACTATTCCATTATTTAGATCATTCAATAGCCCATACTAGTCCATGATCTAGTCTATAAAATAGTTTCTAAACTTGTTAATAGACTAGTCCATTATCTCGGTACTAATTAATTTCCCTTTGTAGTTTCAAAATCTAGGTTGTTTGGGGCCAAACTTTTATATGTGTAAAAACAAAATAATTCCACGACCTTTAAAATAAAGCGTACAATTTAAAAAGGGCTTTTATATATAGAATAAATATATTTATACATACATATATACTTACATACATACATATACAATTTTTATAATTTATGCGTTTCATTTATCTACAAACTCATACATGCAATTCAAAACTCATGCAAAAAAGCAGAATTTTAAAATAATGTATTCTTAAATTTTATGAATAAAGATCAAAATCTTTAGGGGGACAAATTTGTTCAAATCAATATATAAAAACTTATGATTGTCAAAGCTTATTACACTAAAATATCTCCTATGAGAGAGAGGAAGCTTATGGTGAGTTACTGCCTAAAAGAAGATTCCAACGAGGTTTATATTCTGGATTAACCATAACTTTTACACTCTTTACCTTTAACCGATGTGTATATCCTTACAATTTAGCAGCTAAGCAGCAATTAAATAATCAATTTTGTCGTTCAAAGCATAACAACTTCTACAAATTCCTTCATTATTAATTCCTTCATTATTCTCAAAATATTTAAGAATTATTTTTAATTTTTATAAAATTTTCTCTTGCATGTAAAATATTAAATGATTTTTGTTAGGGTTTTTCCAATTAAAATTTACTTTGTTTCTTTTTAAAATGAAACTGCTTCAATCATTGAAATATTTTTCCACTTAATTACGAAAATGTTTTCCCGCTAAAACAAT